TTTCCCATCTCATAAAATTTAGAGTAGAGGTGTGTTTGGTATGACTAACATGATTTAATGGAAAATATTTTTTGACAAAATATCTTCTGGTTGGAGAGTTGAAAATATTTTCTAAAGAAACAATCATTTATTAAAGTTCGATAAAAATATAGCAACTCAGTGTGTGCTTAAAACTTTGAGTATTAAAAATAGATTATAATGTCTAGGTGTTGAATATAAGAACCAAACACCAGAAAATGACTTCATACCAAAAGCACCCTAGGGTAAGATAAGTTTGGACATTAGGTCATAACCTTTGTAATGGAATCCATGGCTGCCTTGGAGGAGATATAGGCAATACCCCCACGAAATAAAACTCTATTTAAACCAGCAGCAGATGAAATATTAATAATGGAGCCTCCCCTTTTTGCAGCTTTCATGTATCTTCCAACATACTTGGAAACTAGCCAAGATCCTGTCAAATTTGTATTTAAAGTATTGCGCCATTCTTCCTCAGAAAGATCTAATGCTGATTTTATTCCACCTATAAACACAAATGTAGATTAAGATTATGGAGCTAAAGTAGCCTACCAAATTCAATCATTCTCTTTGGGATGAATAGGTTATTTAAAAGTTCAAAAAATAACACCATAAACTTTAAGTAATTACTCCCAGTAAAAGTTCACTCGTCAATTCTCTATTTTAAGATGGGATGAAGTATTGTATTTTCTCCAAGTGTAGACCATGGGGCCGAGCTAGCTTGTGACATATTTTTTTTTTTCGAAATTTACCTCTAAGAATTTCTAGCTCCACTACAAGTGTCAAATATGAATATTTTATGAATATCATACAAAATTACTTACTTATTTAATTTTACTATTACCTTAGTACCTTACCAATATAAAGTTGACTATAGGACTCTCTTTCTCAAATAAAATGCCAAAAAAGGGATTCCTTGTTAAAGTGAAAAAAATATACTTACTTTAAAAAATTCTTTCATTTCTGGTTAAAGGTATTTAATTTGTCCTACCTATAGTATCAAAACTTTGTACACACATACATTAGACCTAACCTACATACGTTACCTCTAACACCAGCATTGTTAATAAGAGCATCAACGTAGCCAAAAGCATCCCACGCTTTCTTTACAGATGCTTCAATAGTTGGACCATCAGCAGTAATATCAAGTTCAATAGCCACAGCTCTAACAAGATGAGTATTTGAACTAGCCATTATATTAATTTCGTCACAAAGGGACTTCAATCGGTCCGCCCGACGAGCGGCTGCCACGACTTTACAGCCTGCCCTAGCTAGGTCAAGGCAGAATTCACGGCCGAGTCCCGCCGATGCACCGGTGACAAACACCACTTTGCCTTGCAATTGGCGCCATGGCTCCAAATGGTCTGCTATATTGCTCTTCTGTTGAGTTGTCATATTGCTATCGGACTTGCTAGGAGTTTTTCGGTGTTTATAATGCTATGATATGGTTCTAAATTTATAGGTGTGAATTCTGAATTTGTGAACTGAAGATGTACATAATTTTTAAATAGAACAACGTGTTTCACATGTTATGAAGCTATAGTTTGTAGACTTGCCTATGTAACGTACCGTGGTGCATGAGTTGATAGGCTCCAGCAAGATTGTTGGTAGACATTAAACAGATGGTCCCTTTTATCAAACTAGTTTTGGTCGTGTAACCTGTGTCACGGAAAGTAAATTTTATAAATTATATAAATAATATTCAAAAGATGTTTTAGAGATACAAATAAAAGGCAGAATAACCTAATAAACACTTCTACTTGTCCCGCTTTGTCATCCCGGTCCCGATACTTTACGAAGTTTCATCCAGATACTTGTAGTTTTCAAAATTACATTATTTAAACCCCTCGGCCTCGCGTGTCTTCAA